ACTCATGGCTGACCCTCTAGCAGGTTTTTGGAGGCAGTTAATTACAGGGGAGGAGATTGCCCTTTTTTCTCTTGCAGAGTAGGTGGTGGATTCGAACTTCATACCTTTGAGTTAGCAGCATAATTCCTTACCCACTGGGCAACCAGAGCTCCCTTAACATTATTTCGGATGCATTTAAGTACCATTCTTAGCTGAATCATGTAGATTAAATTTTACCAACTTAAAATACAACAGTTATAAATGTGTAAGTGATCCTACATTTGACAACCTTGCTTTTTTCTCTCATAAAAGAGATTCTTCTGATTATACTGATTTAAAAGAAAGCTTTCACATTCTTTTTTTTTTTAAGAGTTCAGGATTTTTTATTGAACATGTTACAAAAGGAGTTTAGTCAAAAAGACCAAATCCCATGTCATCAAAAGACTCTTCAGATTCTTCTTTCTTTGCTTCCACTTTCTTCTCCTCAACTGGAACAGCAGCAGTCGGGGGGGGGGGGGGGGGGGGGGGGAGTGGCAGGTCCTCCAGCTGGTGCGGCCCCGGCCGCTGGGGCAGGTCCACCAGCACCCACATTGCAGCTGAGGCTCCCAATGTTGACATTTGCTAGGGCCTTTGCAAACAGGCCAGGCCAGAAAGGTTCAAAGTTGACACTGGCTGCCTTAATGAGGGCATTGATTTTATCCTCGGTGACTGTCACCTCATCGTTGTGCAGGATGAGGGCCAAGTAGATGCAGGCGAGCTCAGAGACGGAGGCTATGGTGTGCTGGTACTAGGCGCAAGGCTGCCTGACGCGGTGCTAGTCGCCGGATGAAGTGAGGGCCCAACGCGGCCTTAGCTTCCTCAAAAGGACCGAGCACCTTAGCGGCAACTGAGGAAAGCAGTTTTCACATTCTTTTTTTTTTTTTTAAATTTAGGTTGTTTATTTTTCATGTCAATGAACATCTACAGAGATTTTGGGATTCCATTCATTCATTGTTGCACCCTTCTCCCCTCACAAACCCCTCCCTCCTCCCCTCCCCCATTTTCTCCTCTCCTTGAAAAGCAAAAGAAAAACTCCCTCATTGGTACACAATCCCCCAGCACCTCCCCAAACCCCACCCCCTAGCCCCAAATATAATCCACTCTACAACCCTCATTGCATACTCATATGATAAAAATAATGCCCTAAAATATAATACTTAATGTTCTTTAATTCAGGAAGCTGTTAAAAGGATTTCCTCCCCCCTTCCTCCAGTACCAAAATAGGAAATTATAATTTAAACAGTTATCTTCTTCTGACTCTTTCAGACTCTTCCAACTCTGTAATTTCTCTTTTCTAGACAAATAGTGGATTGGGTGGAGATAAAAATGTGGTTAGTAATGATGTAAACAGTAGAGGTGCTGTTTATCACACTATTGAGGCAGCTTTGGTGGCTTACAGGTAAGAAGTTGCAAAGACACACAGTTCACATGCACCAGCTGCTGCTCCCTGATGGAAAGATAGGCAGTATCCTCCCACGTGATTTATTGCCCCTCAAAACCCATTGAAAGGTCAGCTATGAATAAGTTCTAACTTGAACGTACATAACAACAACAAAACCACACTATAAGAAACAAACAAGGAGCATGATAAACAAAAAATACTGTGTCAGTTATTTCATTTTACTTGGATCCACAGTCACTTTCCATCAAAGCAGCAGTCAGGAGATGAAAGAGTGTGTTGCACTGTATCTGCTACAGAAGACATCTCTTAAGTGTTAAAAATCAAATATGTAACTATGAAACCAACTATATAGGTACCTATGACAAAGCCAGTTTATTTTCTGTTGCTTCATATGCATGTGAAAGCTAGGCAAGGAATAAGGGAGACTGAGTAAGAATTGATGCATTTGAATGATAATGTTATTGAGTATTAAATATGCCATGAACTCTCAGATGAATGAACAGATCGGTCTTGAACTAAATAGAGCCAGAATTTACCTAAAAAGTAAGGATGGTGAAACTTTGTCTCATATTCTTTGAGACATACTATCAGGAGGGACCAATCCTTTGAGAAAAGACATCATTCTGGGTTAAGCAGAGGGCCAGAGGTGGGGATGTGGAAAAAAGGAAGACTCAGTGAAATGGACTGATGCAGTGGATGCCACAGTGAGCTAACATATGGCAATAATTGTGAGGATGGCACTAGGACTAGGCTGTGTTTAGTTTTATTGTCTGTACTGTGACTGTAAGTTGGAACCAAGTCAGTGGTGCTCAGCAACGGCAACCCCCAAAAGATATCTTGAGGTTAAAAAAAACCCCACACACCCATACAATAATTGCAGAAAGAAACAGAAGCAACTTTGCAGGATTAGTGTAAAAAAATTTCAAAATCGAACTCTGAAAAACTTAACTGAGGCATCAGAGCACCTGAAGGCCTCTTCTGTATTCTCAAGATCAGAATTACATGTCATAACTGGCTAGTGAACACAGGAGAACAGAAAGAATAAAAAGAAATGTTATTAATCCTCTTTGATCAATTTTTTTAAATTTTCTTCGTGTTGAGTTGTGAGAATTAGGGGAATTAATAAATAAACTTGATTGGATCTTCTCCCTCTAGAGTTTTGCAGGTGAACGTCCATGGAAAAGTTCTCCTTTCATGCGGTTATTTCCCTCTTTAGAGAGAATGTATGTTTATGTCTAATGCATCTTTTTATTGCTGTTTTGAATTTCTTAACCTGAACTTTGAAATGAAAATATTCCCTACATTTTTGCAACATATACACCTTCAGTGATTATGTAGTGTTTATACTGATGTGGGGAAAGACATGTAAAAAAAAATTATAAGCAAATTCTTGAATTTTATTTTATCCTTTGTGCCTAATGTATCCAAATATGCCTGGACATTTATTTATCAGAAGAACTTAAAATAGCTCCATTTAAGAGTAAGAAGTTCTGAAATTCTCTATTTAAAAGTTTATTGGTATAATGGGCACCACTCAAGCCAGCACTTGAATCTTTGGAATTACTAGGTTTTTTTCCTTTATTTTAGAGTCATACAATTTAATTTTTACTTGTAGAATATTAGATATATCACTAATAATATTAAGTCAGCATAAAATGTACGGTTTATTAGATTACTCAAGTGCTGTCCACATATATGAGGATAAAATAAGAAATCTCACTAATGGAGGCATCTAAAAGTCTTGTGTTAGATAATATGTGGAAACATATAAAGGAAGTATGTTTAGTGATGAAGTAAATATTCTGTGTCCTTTGCTTAGGGTGTTCCAGTGTTGGCGATAAGAAACAAAATGATATCAGAAGGCCTAGACCCAGATCTTCTTGAGTAAGTAATTCTAATTTAATGCTTTACAGTTAAGCTACCGAGTTGATAAGAAAAATATTTAAAGTTATACATATATTAATTTATGCACATAGTATATATTTCTTTATTGTATTTTATGGTTGAGGAAACCATCTTCATAAGTATTTTTTATACTATGTTAAAAATTCTCTGGCCACATCCCTTTTTAAGGCCTCTGATATGCTATTAACACCTCTGAAAACCTGCTGGAGGGTCAGTTCTGACTCAATGGTAACAGTATTTAAAGAAGATGGACTTCAGGGACAGTTTTGTTGCATGGCTGTAGTTTGGGGTTTTTTTAAAATTTTATTTTATTATATTTTTGTCTGTGTACCGTCAAGTTGTATCTGACTGGTACAGGAGGAGATTTCCCCTCCTTCTCCAGCAGAGCATATGCTGGATTTGAACTATGTGCCTCTGAGTTGTAGTGCAGCTTCTTGCCACTAGGCCACCAGAGCTCCCTCATGGCTCTAGTTTTTATGAGACGTAGAGTATTTTCTTAGTACTTCTGTTAACTGTTAACTTTTCATTTAAGACCTTGTCATGTTGGCAGTTGAGATCTTGATTGACCAAGGTTAAGAAGGAAATAAGATAAAACTACTTTAGGTTCACAACAAGAATTATTTTAAAATTAAATACTGTTTCTGGAAAACATTTCTTGAGAAATGCTGAAAAATTCTGGCGTGGCAATTTGACAATCGTTGAACCCATCCAAGCCTACATGGCTAAAATATATCTGAATAGTTCATCCTGGGTAAAACATTTTAAAAGTTCATCAAAATGACTGTGTTTTGTGAGTATCTGGATACTTGTAGCATCTCTCCATTTGGAGTTTTAGTTCATCCCGATGTATTTAGCTGTATTGTCCAGAAAGTCGTATTCTCCTAGCAATATACTTTGAAATTTTTATTAGTGCTCATCCTCACAAGAAAAAATGTGCATCTTGAGACCATCAAATATTCATTTTCTTTTTTTTTTTTTGGTCTTCTAAAATATGAAACTTAACGAGCAAATTTTTAAGAATTCTACAATAACAGCTTTTCAACATATCTTTACATTCAGTATTTATTCAAGTGTCAAACAGTTCAAGTACAATGACATGGGTTAGTAACTTGAAATAAAGTATCACCAGGAAATTTGGCATGCATTTTGGAAATTATTTCTGGTGCACCGAAAAAAAGCAAATGATTTGTGACATATATTTCAGTGTGAATTGAGCATATGTATTCAATCTATTCTAGTACTCATTGGAATATATGTTCTATTTAACATTGACCATGACCTCTTTTTAGCTTCTGGAAATACACTGTACATTATTATAATAGCAGAAAGCCATTATAATGACCCTGATGGGAGAATGATGTGCAGTCTTCTCCCATAAAGATTTACAGCCCTGGAAACCCGAGGGGACAGTTATGCTCCTGTGAATTGAAATTGACACAATGGCTTTGGGTTTGGGTGGAGTTTTCATTCATCTGTTATATTCTAATAAGATTTTAAAATGATAATTTGTCTTTCTAGAGAAAATGTAATAAATTAAAAACTAGCAGCATTATAACTATCAGCATCATTTATTTATCCAGTCCCTGTACTCCCTACTGGTTTAAGTCCCTCCTCAACCTGCTTCGTAGCCTTTACTTCAGCTAGCTACCCGCCTTAACAGCTTGGCAGTCATCCTCACCTTCTACCATGGCAGTCACTGCGTTCTCGTTTTTAAACTCTCTCAGATCTGACCACAGACCTCAGCTTACTTGAGGAAAATGGATTTCTGCTTAGTTGAAGCCCTTTCTCACCTGAGCTATTATAATAGCCTCCTGAATTGGCGTCCCTCTTCTTTTTCAAAGCAATCTACTACAGCCAGTCAGGGAATGCTGGTGGATTTGAGTAAGAAGTTACATGGCCAACCCAAAGACGAGTGTCTTGAATCCACTAATTGCTCTGTGGTAGAGAGATGGGCAGTCTCCTCCTGTACAGTTTGTTGTTGTTAGGTGCTGTCAGGTTGAGCACAACTCATAATGACCCTATGAATGGTACAATCTGAACCCTGTCCTATCCTATCCTATCCCTCATGCCCATTGCCGCAGTCACTGTGTCCATCCACCTGGTTGAGAGTCTTCCTTTCCTTCCCCATCCCTCCACCTTCCCAAGCACAATATCCCTAAGAAATAATTTCCACTAGCAACATGCAAAGCTTGATCATCTTTGTCTCCAAAGAACACTGGTTGTACCTTCTCCAGGACATATCCATTTATTCTTTTGGCATTCCATGGGATATTCAGCACTCAACTCCAACATCACAATTCATAGGCATCACTTGCCTCTTGAAAACCCAGTTGGAGGGTCAGTCATGAGTCAATTCTGACTAGATGGCACAGAACAGCAGCAATAACAAAGCTAAACATACTTCTCCGTGCTTCATACCTTTCTCTGACTCTCCCCTGTCATCATGTGTAATTTTAACATTGTAAATAAATGCTTTTGTCAAGATCTGGTTTCTTTCTCTATCGCCTTATCTTCTTACTCTTCCACATGTGTCTTTTGTGCAAACTACTTACTGTAGTTTCATGAATGTTTCATTCTCCTGCTCTCTTTTGGTGTCTTTGAATATTTTGTTTCCTCTGGAATTCCCTTCCCTCACTTTATTGGCGTGGCTGATTTCTCCTTCTTCAAGAATCCACTTAGGTGTCATCACTTTGGGAAGCCCATGGGTATTTACTAGGGGAAGTACCCACCATCCTACCACTGCTTTAGTATGTCTGACAGCAAGTTTGAGGATGTGTCATTGCTTATAAATGCTGGGAAGCTTTCGGTTGCGAGGTGATGCCAAGTTCTAGGGTAGAATTCCAGTAACAGTTAACATTGTCTTTCAAAAAAAACTAATCTTCACGCATGACCTGGAGACTGACTTCTGACTCATTACTTCATAAGTATATGCCATTGGTCAGCAGAGACACTGGTTGGAGTCAGGTGACTGACTGTTACCTATCAATCTATCACCCACCACTGGCAAGCTAGCTCCAGGTACATTTGGCTAGATCAGTTACGTAGAATCACCCACCTCCTGTTAACAGGAATTCTGGGACTTTTGAAATAATTTTTACTTGAAGTTATGAAGCCTTGCTAGGGAAGAAGAACATGAGATGATAGAGAAGAAAGTGTACCATCCGAGGGAGAATCTTAGATACTTATTAAACCTCCACCAAGAACTTCTAGTAGAGAATGTTCTGTTTTCTTTACTCTTTGAATCTCTGAAGGATGCTTTCTTTTTATGAGCCTTAGGTAATAAGAAAACTCATGTGACAGTTGAAAGAAACTGTTTAGCTCTAGAGCCTTCATTGAGCAAGAATAGAACTCATAGTGAGTTGGAAGAAAATTATGATCAGAAAATGCGTTGTTGCTTGATTGGCCTGTTTGAATAAAAAGATAGAATTTAAAAGAGTACTAAATTTTGAACTAAGTATGCTTATTCAATAAAGGGGAAAATGCCCTAGAAATTTTCCTAGAATAAGAATTATCCAAGTTTAGAAAGTCTGTAAAGTACAAGAAAATATCTGATAATTATAAAATAAATAGTATTTGTATGATTGGGGTTTTTTTTTTCAGAATAAAAAATGGTTCTTTTATAATCAAAACTAAGTCTTCATTGTTGTTGTTGTCGTTATGTGCCATTGAATTGCTTGAGATTCATAGCAACCCTATGTACAACAGCCCTGAAACTTGCTCTATCCTGTGCGAACTTTATTGTCTCCAACACACCTAACTTCATTACCTCAGTCACTGTATCAATCCATCTTAACTATGGTCTCCCTCACTTTTTCCGTCCCTCTACCCTACCAAGCATGATGTCCCTCTCCAACATGATATCCCTCTCTTCCTTGCAACATGCCCAAAGTAGGTCAGAGGACGACTCAAAATCCTTGCCTCCAGGGAGCAGCCTGGCTCAACCCTCTTTAGGACAAACCTGTTTGTTCTCTTGGCAGTCCATGCTATATTCAGAACTCTTCCCTAGCACCACAGCTCAGAGGCATCAATTCTCTATCACTCCGAGTCATTGTCCACCTCTATGATGCATAGCAAGCAGTTGTGAATACTATGGCCTGAATCAGGCACACCTTAGTCTCAAGACTGGCATCATTGCTCTTTAGTATTCTGGAGAGGTCCCTGACAGCTGACTTTTCCAAAGCAGTTCATCTCTTGATTTCCTGGCTGCTAGTACCAAGAGGGTTGATTGTGAAGTTAAGCAAACTAAATCTGTTAAGGGTCTCAGTCTCTTCACCATCCATCATGATGCTGCCAAATGGCCCAGTGGTGGATGTCAGATAAGACTCAATATTGCACTGCGATGCCAAGCAGCCAAAGCAAAGGGAAGAAATCAAGAAGTTAAGGAGCTGAACAGAACATTTCAAAGAGTAGCTTGGGAAGACAAAGCAAAGTATTATAATGAAACATGAAGAGTTGGAGTTAGAAAATCAAAGGGGCTAAACTCAGTCAGCATTGCTTAAGTTGAAGGAACTGAAGACCAAATTCAGCCCTCAAGTTGGAATACTTAAGGATGCTTTAGGCAGAATATTAAATGATCAAGAAGCATTTAGAGAAGGTGGAAGGATTATACAGTCACTGTACCAGAAGGAATTGGCTGACACAGAAGAATTTCAAGAAACAACATATGATCAAGAGCCTGTGGTCATGAAGGAAGAAGTTCAAGCTGCTCTGAAAGAATTAGCAAGAAACAAAACTTCAGGAATTGAATGCAAACCAGTTGACATATTTCAACAAACAGATGCTGCCCTGGATGCGCTCACTAAATTGTGCCAAGAAATCTGGAAGACAGCCACCTGGCCAGCTGAATGGAAGGGATCTACATTTGTTTCCATTCCAAAGAAATGTGACCTTACAGGATGCGGAAATTATTGAACAATATCATTAATATTGCATTCAAGCAAGATTCTGCAGAGAATTAACCAAAATGACTGGAGCAGTAC